CTCGCATCGCGCATTATCTTTTAGCGGGAAATCTTCAGAATCGTCATCAATCTTCTTGCGCGCAGCTAACCACAGCAAAACAAAATCTATCCTGCATCGCGGATAGAGTCGCACTCTTCGATAACTCACAATTGTTTCCTAACTCGTTGTTCGCAAATATCTATTTAGAAAGAGCTTACTGTAATAAGGTTTACCTTTATTTCCCTTTCTTGGGCTACAAAATCACGTTTTTGCTTATAAAAACATACGTTTTATTTAAAAAAAAAATCTTTTAACATTTAGGACTTAAACCCCTTGCGCCATCTCTAAATGTTGACGAAAAAGCTTAATATTTGAAATGTTAGTCCCAATAATCATTTTCCACATTGTCCACGAATGATTTTCTTTAAATAAGCCCCATCCTACTTGCACCCATGAATCCCACCTGGTATTGTCCCACGAACTGATCTCGCAGTAGTTGCAACAATTCAACCCTTCGTCCCGTTTGTGGATTGGTCGAACGATTCTTCCATTCACTCCTCCAGTAAAAGCTCCTCCTCCAAAATCTTGGCTATTACCGAAGACAACATATCAAGAAGACTGGCAACTCTTCCATTTTCTCATACAACCGGTATGAGACAGGTACACTCGCGTCATCATGCTCCTATATAATTGGATAGCAAAGGTTCCATACACAGAAGAAAGGTGTATGTATTTGCTCTTTTTTTCTATGCGTTGCTTCCACATTCACTCGAGCGCAGCGCTACTGTGCCTGTTGCTTGGATTCAGGAAAAGTTGCCAGTCTTCTTGATATGTTGTCTTCGCTATTACCGAAGACATCATATCAAGAAGACTGGCAACATTGCCAGAATCAAAGCGACAGATACAATAGCGCTGCGCTTGAGTGAAGGTGGAAGCAACGCATAGAAAAATGTGCAAATACACAAACCTTTCTTCTGATGATGTAATCTTTGCTATGTTATTCGTTAGAAGAATTTACCTTTGAGCGGCAAATGACGTGAGAGTTCCTGTCTCATTGCGATCGTATGATAGTATGGAAGAGTTGTCAGTCTTCTTGATTTGTTGTCTTCGCTATTACCCAGTGCAGCGCTCTAGCCAGTGATTCATATTTTAATAATTCACTTAGTAACTGTTCAATGCTGCAACGACTGACCGACCGATCTCCTTTTCTACACACTACTAAAAAGTCATGTAAATTTCGGTTCCCTGAGACCGACACATGTAAGCGGGCCTTTTGACATAATAATCAGTTGAAAGAAACGTGAAAATCAATACAATCAAACGTTCTCTTCGTCGACTAGCTGATGTTTTGGTTTGAGAATACTTAATTTTACATGAAATGTTTGTTTACGTTCTATGATTTACGTCCAATATGGATTACGTCTCGTGTAAAGGTAGTTATTTCTAAGTGTGTACTGTTCGTGCTTCTAGCTCTGTTACTGTACCACCTTCGTTATCTGCGATATCGCCTTTAAGGTACTCGTCATAGTACTGTTTCCACCTCACACTCGTTAGTAAGATTTCCGTTCAGGTCTCTTCCCTACCGACTTACTACACATAACTTCTCGTAGAACTTCCATGTTTCATTAACGCGGTACAGATGTTCTATTCTGTTCCGTGCTTGACTGCATCGTTCCACATTCATTCTCGTGTGGTGCTGCAGTCAGTGTTGGTAAATATCACGGTCTTCATGTGACAATGAGGTAACAGATCTTTTCACTATCACGAGACGAAAGAACTTATCATGAGCTTTGTTGTCATTTTATAATGATCAAGTACTCATGAGAATAATTTCTTACGATTTTGACATCAAAATTTTTAACTGATTTAGATGAATTCAGCTACGTAACCGCGTAACCGCGTAACCGCGTGAATATATTTTTAAGATTTCCGTGATACAATTAATTGTAATATCAATAAATAAGCTCGTAATTCCGATGTTCACAACACTTTCTAGTTCTTCATGATAAAAAAACGTTCAAATTTTAAAGAAAATCTGTACAGCCGTTTTTGTGGGATCTTTAATTGAAAATGACATTTGCTGCAGTATTTTCGCCCGTGCTGTTCTTCTCGTCAATCATGCATTGACCATCAAACCAATCATTTCTTCGGTCCATTACCATCGTACCGGCGATGCTGCGCCAAGCTCATTTTCCGTTGATCCAGCATCCTGTAGTTGCCTTTACTGACTAAACTATCTACAGCAGGGCCCGATAAAGTCACTTTCAATCGAGTCTCTTCAAGCGACGACGAAGCTGTCAACCATCACTTTCAATAGAAAGTCATTTTGTCTTCTTTTCGAGCAGATCCCAGATTCTACATCAACAGAACCACTTCCGATCACTTTTCATGCTGTTTGTTTTGGCTTGACTCGTGTTAATTTCGTTTTTCACTGTCAAATGAACTTACTTTCGCATTCAAGCGATGCTGTTCGATCCAAACTCGCACAGTTTTTCTGACTTTTTTTTTGATACTTCATGCGCATAGAGCAGTGCACGTGGATGTCAAATTTATCATTTTAGGGTGCTTTGTTTTTGCTCCCATTCGTTTCCATCTATCGCCGTCACTTTGAAATGAAAGTTTGGGACCGTGCACTGATATAAAAGAAAATGAAAACAACAGAACGCGTGTCACATGCAACCGAAGATTTTTTTGGGCTTAGAACTTGTGGTCACGTTTTCCTTCCATATGCGGGTGTCCACGACATGCCTAGCTGCCACCAGTTTGAACACTTCGACAATCAGTTGCTTATCTATAGGACATGCCTGTTTCGCAACAAGCCTCGGATTTTTAGCCCCCGGTTGTCCCTCCTTTTGTAGTCTTTCGCCAACTTTCTGCGTGGGGTGTTCGGAAATTTCAAACAAAATTAGTTATGTCCAGTTTACGCTGTGTATGTCGATGCATGTCGGTATTATGGATCGCTTAAGGCGTTGTTCATAAACTACGTATACTAATTTTGAGAGGTTTCAGATCCGCCTACCCCGCGTAGACAATCGTCCAATTGGAATTTGTATGAACTTAGCGAATTTTTCCGCGAGTGTTGTTACTAAACCTATTCAAACCTTTTTGCTGAATTAAAAGATTGTCCCGATCCCGAGAAATCCATATTATCAAATTCTCTGACACAAACTACCCTGCCTTAGTTTAGCTCACTGATGTCGTGGCGATGTGGCATCTGCTAGCAAACAAAACATGTCACTGCACAATACATTGACATGTTGTTTGATGCCACACAGCCACTACATCACTGCCAAAGTCAGAATGAAACAAAGAACAACGCGACGAATGACAAGTTGAGTGAAGCCCGAATTGAAGTGAAAGCGGAAAAACTAAGGAAGCTATACGTCAATTGAAACAAGTCTTTGCTTCAAATGAAATGATCTGAAAGAACTTGACGAACGAAACTATCGATAGTCAAGTCATGTTTGACAGGAGAAATGTTCATCGTGACTCGATAACAAGAATCACAATGACTTACACAAAAATGATACTGCTTAAAATGCAGCAATTTTATGGAGAGTTCTTTTTTTTTTGTTTGGAAAATGCAGAACCCTGATCTGCGGTACGTACGAACGTTGATAATATCGGGGAAGAATTTGCCGCCGATTAGAGCGTGATCGATTTGGTTTTCTGAATTAAACTTTGTTCATCTCAATTCGTATAACGGGGTTTATCTCTACACAGATTCTGGTCACTTTCTCGAAGGGAATTTGGAATATTTTCGGCAGGAAAGGAATTGGCGTATTGGTTCACGCTTGAGGTCACGTGCTCGTCATCATGAAAAATTGTGTGTATGAAATACCACCACTTCACCTTTGATTCGTTCTAATTTAGTGCCTACAACAATGTTAAAATTTACTCATAAATAGTTCAATATAATTTCAACTGAAAATTTGAATACCATGACGTGGAGGACCCAAATTCATACAGGATAAGTAAGCGTTTTGTATGAGGCGTATGGATTTTGATTTATTACTTAGGTGTAGGCATTTCGATCCCGCACGGTAGTAATATTTGAACCAATTGCTACCAATTAGCAGAATTTGAAAAGTTCAACTATTCGGGAGAACGTTAATACTTTTAAAACTGGTATTGTTTTATTCTGACTAGATTATCCATAGAATTGAGGTATAGTAATAAAGTAAGAATTTTCTATTCAAAACAATTTTATTCGACAATAAAATCTACAGAGATTTGTGTGCATGATATAAAATGAGCCAAATAACTTATCGTTATAAATGATTGCTCCAATAAATGCTTTTAACGCTTCAATTACGAACTAACATCAAGAGCAGAACAAACCAGGGGATATCAATTCAATGAGACTATACCATTTCATAAATATTTTTGCAGCTCTTTAAAAACCATGATTTCGACAGTCATGAAACCGATGATGAACATTTAAGCAAACCCAGCAAGGCAAGAAGTGTATCTTATCTATTTACTAGCTCAACCATTGTGCACTATTAATGAATAATTTCTACAAATTCAATTAAGCTTCATTCACAATGCTACAAACGAAGTGTGCATGGATCTTTAATACTAGCAATTATCCTAAAATGATATTTAAACAAACAACAAAAATAAAAGCCAAAAAAAAATTAAATTGTGATCCCTTTTGCAAAAAAAAAATATACTAACCAAGCACATATTGTTCCGCCTGTTCAAACTGATAAAAGTTTTCCCTTTTCATTCGATCAAACACGCCAAGACAAAACATTCACTCTCAATGGATTTCCCTCACCCCTCGTGAGATAAAAACAGCCCGAACCGAAACATTGTGTATATCGGTAACATACCGTCTCTCTAACATGAATTCGTTTTCCTTCTTGTTCGTCTGTCCGTTTTGCTGTTTGTTTTTCAATTTACTGTATTCATTCTGTTTTTGCTCGTATTTCCTCCTATTTCTTCTCATTCGTTCTGCATTCAAATTGTTCAGAGCCAGTGGAAACTAAGTTTTACCATTTTCTTCTCATTTCTCGTGACTTCCATTGGTGCAGGAAAAGGAGGATGGACCGCTGTATAAATTCTACGAGTTGATTGAGGATTTCGCACCGGACTTTTTCAAAACTATGAGCAACTTACAGCAGATGACACTGTTTGCACCCAGCAATGAAGCGTTAAGTCATCCAATTGTGCACAACTTTATCAGGTGAGTTTCCTTTAAACCATTTTAAATAAATTTGTATTAATTTATCCGGAAATCCATTAACTCAACTACGAACTATTGTCACCAGATGGCAATTTTCATTACCTTCCACATCGAAGCAGTTTTGCATTAGTTTACACAATATAGCACTTTGCTTTGTTTTGAGTTTGCGAAAGCTGAAGAAAGTAAAAGTTATCCAATGTCATCATTGCTTTCCTTTCATTCACGCTTCTTCCTAATACCAAATCCAACAATTGATTAAGGGCATACAGCTGAAATTGAAAAAAGTGGAGCAAAATACACGAGTAAATATTCGTGAGAAATTAATGGATTCCTTAACACTTAGCCTTAGATCAAACACGCCAAGACAAAACAAACACAGCTTTCTGCTTCAAATACACCGTTTCGTTATGAAAAAAAACTGATATGAACCAAAGTTTAAAAAAATGATTCACGTCAAAACAAATAAAACAAACATTGCTTTATGTTGGACTCGAAATCCAAAACATTACACTTCCAAGGCAATTTTAGAAGCCTTCTTGGAATCAAACCCCTCATTATTTAAAGTTGAAACATTAGCCTCCGGCTCGAACCCCCATTTGGCCGTAATTGGATAGCTACAGCATACCATAGTGGAATGGCAGATTTTATTTGCAGTGAATTAATTAAACCGTTATAAAAATAAAAAAGCAGCTCAACTCGGAAGTACACGCAGGTCGTACCGTTAAAACAACTAGCAAAAAAATTACCAAGATTTTAATTTTTCACATGCTAAAATATGTTCAATATGTCCTTATAGACAAAATTTTAAAATTTCTGTATTTATACTAAAATTGATTGTTTTTTTTTTAAGTTTACCATTATATTACCTATGGCTCGAAAGGGTTAATGTGATTCGTTATCGTTATCGAAAAATTGTTTCAAACGTAACGTGTAAATTGCAACTCAGCGGCACCAACCGTGTAAAAAAAATCGCGTAAAAACCGTTTTAAAAACATTCCATGTATGCCTGCAAAATTAAATATATATGAAAAATAGGCAATATTTTTAAGAACGCTTAGTTAAACTTTATAAAGAAATATGAAATAGCGTCCCTTGGTTGCTAAAGAGTGTACGGAATCAAATAGCATCATTTTCAAATGGCAGTAATTTTTTACCCATTGGGTATTTTCTATTCAAATTTGAAGTGAAATTAGTTCAAAGTGTATTGATAACACTGTGTAAGTTGCTGTGCAATCGTTGCAAAAATGGAGCAGCAGCGACGCAAATAAATTTTGCGCACGTACCTCAAAAATCCAGATTTATATTATCGTACCATCAGCAGGAAGCTGGAAATGGTACAAACTACGGCAGGATCTACAGTAATTTCAGCAGGATCTACGGTAATCGGTACAACAAACGCTTGACCATCTATCGGAAGCGAAAAAGTGGCCAAAATGGACCTCCACATATTGTAAAGGATCACAAGCGGGTAGTTCAAGCTTTCAAGAGGAATCCAAGCAGTTCAGTTAAAGAAGTGGAGAAAAAACTATCGTGCAAGATGCGAAAAACGTACAAAGTTGAAAAGGCGTCGAACCGCGATGAACGGCAGAATACTTACCTTACCAATCATTCTAAGGCCTTGTTGTCTTCTGCTGTCCGAAGAAGTCGTCTCCACTCTACTCGATCGATGGCCACACTTCGCCAGCCTCGTAATCTGCGAAGGGTCCGCAGGTCGCCTTCTACTTGGTCGATCCACCTTGCCCGCTGCGTGCCTCTTCTTCTTGTTCCTGTTGGGTCGCTTTCTAGAGCCATTTTCACTGGGTCGTCGTGCGGCATTCTTACGACGTGCCCAGCCCACCGTAGTCGCCCATTTTTTGCAATGTGGACGATGGATGGTTCTCCCAGCAGCTGGTGCAATTCGTGGTTCATTCGCCTCCTTCACGTTCCGTCATCCATCTGCACTCCACCGTAGATGGTACGCAACACTTTCCGTTCGAAAACACCAAGGGTGCGTTGGTCCTCCACGAGCATAGTCCAGGTCTCGTGGCCGTAGAGGACCACCGGTCTAATCAGCGTCTCGTAGACAGTCAACTTCGTGCGGCGGCGAATTTTATTCGACCGGTGCGTCCTCCGGAGTCTAAAGTAGACACAATTCCCTGCCATAATGTGTCTTTGAATCCCTCTGCTGATATCATTTTCAGGTGACCGCTGTGAGCCCAAATACACATACTTATCAACCGCCTCGATTTCGTCACCGTCAATCGAAGTGGCAGGCTAACATTGTCTTCCCTAGAACCTCTTGCTTTCATGTATTTTGTCTTTGATGCGTTGATGGCAAGTCCAATCCGCCTAGCTTCAGCTTTAAGTCTGATTTACGTTTCCGCCATCGTCTCAAAGTTCCATGCCATGATGTCAATGTTATCGGCGAAGCCAAGAAGCTGGATGGACTTCCTAAAGATCGTACCACTCGTGCCTATCCTAGCTCTGCTGATCACACCTTCTAACGCGATGTTGAATAGCAGACACGAAAGTCCATCACCTTGCCGTAGCCCCCTTCAAGATTCAAAGGGACTCGAGAGTGTCCCCGATACTCGAACAACGCACATCACTCGATCCATCGTCGCCTTGACAAATCTCGTCAGTTTATCCGCAAATCCATACTCGTGCACAATCTGTTATAGCTGATCTCGATCGATTGTGCACTGCAAAAAAATAATTTTGTTCTCACATCAAAGTGGATGTACTTCAATCATGTCGAAAATATGGTGTAATATTACTTGCCAAAAAGGATAAAATTATCATTAATTCAGTGCATGAACTAAAATTACACTTCTTTTACTGCATTTGTTTATTTTTGTGGCCATAAAAATTACATGAGATTTTCGACATGATTGAAGTGCATCCTCTTGGATGTAATATTAAAATTTATTTTTTGCTGTGTGTCGTATGCGGATTTGAAATCGATGAACAAATGATGTGTGGACACGTTGTTTCGCAGCATTTCTGCAGAACCTGCCGAATCGCGAAAATTTGGTCCGTGGTAGCGCGGGCACCCATGAATCCCGCCTGGTATTTCCCCACGAACTCTCTTGCAAATGGTGACAGACGGCGGCATAGAATTTGGGAGATAACCTTGTAGGCGGCGCTCAGCAGTGTGATCGCTCGGTAGTTGCAGCAATCCAACTTGTCGCCCTTTTTGTAGATTGGGGATACGACACCTTCCATCCACTCCTCCGGTAATATCTCCTCCTTCCAAATCTTGGCAATTACCCAGTGCTTCACCACCGTATTTTAATAGCTCACTAGTTGATCTACACCAGTTGCTTTGTTGTTCTTCAGTCGACCTCTTCCTCAACTTTTTGAAGATCAGGGGCCGGTAGCCTGTCGTCTTCTGTGCGTGCTCCAAGGTGTGTTACCGTGCCACTTTCGTTTTCTGGTGCTTCACCGTGAGAAGGTTATCGTCCAAGTCCTTGCACATATCGGCTTTCGGCACGTAGCCTTTGCGCAAACTATTTAGCTTCTCGTAGAACTTCCGTGCGTCGATTACACGATACAGATTTTCCATCGCCTCGGTCTTCCTGCTGAAGCTCCTTCCTTCGGAAAACTGAGTTTTGTCTGTTTCGCATTCTCGCCCGTGCTGCATTCTTCTCCTCTACTAACAGTTTGCATTCGCCGTCCAACCAGTCATTTTTTCGGTCCGGGATCGCAGTACCTAGTGCCACTGCAGCAGTACTAAAGGGCGAACACGAAATTATTGCGACACCGAAAATGTCATGCCAATTTTCTTATAATGTTTAGAATCAAACCAAAATTTTAGGGTAGTTTTATACATATATTTACATAAAAAATCAAAAGAAAAGTTAATCGATGGAGCCTTGAGTGTAAAATTGAACGCATTTTCACTTGATGCCCTCCATCAAAGTCTTTACAGTGTCGTCCGGTACCAGTTTCTCAGTTTTTTTTCCATTTTCTTAACATGTCCTTCTCGTCTTTGACTGTCTTCTTGCTCTTCTGAAGTTCCCGCTTCATTATTGCCCGGTACTGCTCCACCGGGCGCAGCTCCGGACAGTTTGGCGGATTCATGTCCTTTGGAACAAAATGGACAGAATTGGCCTCATACCACTCCAGGACACTTTTAGAATAGTGGCATGATGCCAAATCTGGTCAAAATAGCGGAGCTTCGTCGTGCTGCTGCAAGAACGGCAAAAAGCGCTTCTTGAGGCACTTAGATTTGTAGATCTCGCCACTTACTGTGCCCTTTGTCACGAAAGACTCACTCCTCAGTCCGCAAGAGCAGATGGCCTGCCAAATGAGATATTTGGAGGCGAACTTCGACATTTTCTTCTTCTTAAATTTGTCGTCCACATCGAACTTGCTCTTGTCGGTGAAAACTCCAACCCCGGAATTTGCTTAAAATCGGCTTTTATATACGTTTCGTCGTCCATCACACAGCAGCCATATTTTGTCAGCATCTTCTCGTAGAGCTTCCGTGCCCGAGTTTTAGCCGTCGATTGTTGCCGCTCATCGCGGTTTGGGAAGTTTTGTACCTTGTATGTATGTAGTCCAGCTCTCTTCTTTGCATTCTGGACGTAGCTCTGCGACATGCCGATCTTTTTAGCCAAATCACGGCTTGAGACGTTGGGATTTGCTTTAATCATCCGCTTCACCTTTCCTTCCGTATTTTTGTTCTCCGGTCCCGGTTTTTTTCCAGCTCCTTTGCCGTGGTCCAACGTCAACCGCTCATGAAACCGCTTCAACACTCTGGAGACGGTTGAATGGTGAATGTTCAACATTTTTCCCGACTGCCGGTGCGACAGGTCAGGAAATTCCAGGTGTTTGGAAAGAATTTGTTCTCTCAACTCGCGTTGGTTCACCTCCATTTTCGTTGAATCGAAAAACACGACTTCGAGTTTGACAGCATGTACACAATACACATCAATGAGAAAGTGTGCCAAATTTGATTGATTTTTACCCAATAGTCGTGTTCGCCCTTTACCTATGGTGGAACGGATGTCCCTCCA